TTTTGTCTTTTTCCGTGTCCGGCAACGGATCGCAACCCTCAGTGTTGCCCCCGTACCGGACCGGGGACCGGGCAACGGGATTGCAACCCTCGGTGTTGCTCCCGCGCCTCGCTCAGCCAGTGAGCGGGAACCGGTCTGTATGTGGGATCCGAACCCTCGGGCGGGAGCGCCGCCGCGCCTCCCAAGCGGCGCACTATCCATTGCGCCACCAGGCCGGCCCTCCCACTTGTTTTTAAGTCTCTCATGTACATACTAATGCTGCATTAGCACAAATTTGTCTGGTTTAATGGAAAAGCAGCTCAAAAGTACATGTTTTGCCACTGCAAAAGTTGCATTCAACTCAATATTTTTAAATACATTGGAGGAGTTAAATCTTTAAAGAACTACTTCTGTGTAAACAAGATTTCCAGGTTCTGGGTACATTTTTGTAGCGACAGTCAACAGCAGGAAAAAAAATCCAGTTTAATAAGGCATTCAGATAGTCCCTTGGAAATCAATGAACTGAAGAGTCAAATTTTGATTATTCATGGTAAAAGGAAGCAAACCCTATTACCAATTAAACTGCACAAATAACTGAAAAATGTTTTTGTAGCAATTTCAACTTAGAGCAAATCTTTTAAAGAAAACAGTGTAATAAGTACATGAATTGCATACCTGTCCTCTAAGTTAGGTGCTAATAATAGTTATGATTGAAGTCCTAATAAGACAAGTAAGTAAATGGGGAAGGAAGAAAAAAAACCCCGAACGCCTGAACAATATGTAAGCTAGCTCATTAGCCACCAAATAGCTGACAGTTTTATGAAAACTAATTCTGCTCTTAATATTACTTCCTTCCAAGTATATCCAGCCTTAATTCCACTAAAACAACAACAAAAAAACTTACAATGAAAGAAACTATGTAATTTATCTGCCAGATAGTATCATATATACTAAAGTCCCTTGATTTTTTGGCAAACAGGATCTTTAGGTATAAATGGCCACTTAAATTGAAAAGGCATGTAAAGCACCGACCAAGCACTCTCTTGACTGCCAATTCATAAAAAGATCATAATTAAATTAATGCTGACATCTAGTGGCAAGAAAGAACACCTTTCTTTTATAACATTACCTGACTTGTATCTTCCCACACCAAACTAATGATTCTAAAACCAAAGACACAAGGGGCTGGCCTATGGCTCACTTGGGAGAGTGTGGTGCTGATAACACCAAGGCCACAGGTTCAGATCCCTACATAGGGAAGGCTGGTTAGCTCACCTCAGTGAGCGTGGTGCTGACACCAAGTCAAGGGATAAGATCCCCTTACCGGTCCTCTTTAAAAAAATAAATTAATTAAAATAAAACAAAAGACACTTCCAAATCCCCACAAAAGATTATCCATTTAATCTATTTAAGAATTATCCATTAATCTTAAAGTAAAGAAAGGAATAATAGGGCTGGCCCGTGGCGCATGCACTCAGGAGAGTGCGGAGCTGGGAGCGCAGCAGCGCTCCCGCCGCGGGTTCCGATCCTGTATAGGGATGGCCGGTGCGCTTACTGGCTGAGCGCTTACTGGCTGAGCGCGGTGTGGGCGACAACAAGCCTAGGGTTGCGATCCCCTTACCGGTCACAAAAAAGGACAAAAAAAAAATAATAATAATTAATTAATTTTTTTAAAAAAAAGAAAGGAATAATAGTTCCCCATTACTAAAAAAACCATATTTGCAGATGTAAGTGCGGAGCAGGGAGCCCAGCAGCGCTCCCGCCGCGGGTTCCGATCCTGTATAGGGATGGCCGGTGCGCTTACTGGCTGAGCGCTTACTGGCTGAGCGCGGTGTGGGCGACAACAAGCCTAGGGTTGCGATCCCCTTACCGGTCACAAAAAAGGACAAAAAAAAAATAATAATAATTAATTAATTTTTTTAAAAAAAAGAAAGGAATAATAGTTCCCCATTACTAAAAAAACCATATTTGCAGATGTAAAATTGGCTACAAAATCTTTTCTTGGGACTGGGGGGGGGGTGGTACAAAAAGGATTCCTCATGAAGAATCTGTGTTTGAAATCGTAAATACGTAACCTTAAAAGAGCAGGAGATAACTGCTTAAAAATAAAGAATGCAGCTGAGTATTTCACTTGAAAAAGATGTCATTATTAATAAATTGTGGGATGTATTTTAACTGTCTCCTAGGATAGGATGGTTTCCTCCCCTTTAATAATGTTTTTAATTTTTAAAAAGCAAATGACTAACGAACAAACAAAAGTCACAGTTTTACTTAACACCTATACAACAGAACTGTGAACATTCCAAGCTTTACAAAGCCATTGTCTGGCTGAATGGCTCAATTCAATCAAATGTTATGCCCAATTTCCAGACACCATGAACGCATAGAGTGAATTTTTATCAAACATCATTCTTTGTAAAAATTTAAGATTCTACATGCAATTCTAGGATGAAATGTTTTAGAAATTCAGGGACAATCAATTTTGAAATATCTATTTTCAACTGAAGAAATCTTCCATCCTGCAGCCTGGCATGTTTGAATTGCTGTGTTGACCAGAAATAACTGGCCAACGTTTGAATTAATATTCAAAGCTTTCTTTTAAAAAATAAGTATTATTTCCTTTAAAAATGCACCTGTAACCCATTTCAAACTGGAGGTGTCAGTCTAAAATACGGCAATTGAATAATAAGAAAATGCTATACACATCACATGCAGAAGTACGTCTTTGTCCTCTTAAAAACAATCCCGAGCAGATTTAGCTTTTACACTAGATCGGTTTGCAATCACTTCAAAATGTCCACCTCCTTCAATAAAAGCAAAGTATCTGACCGAACTAAGACATTCATCAAACCTTCAGTCAAACCTCTGGAGTGAAGTAAAATCACAAAGGCAAATTAATTATTTTTAAAATCATGGACTGAACTACGGTGATTTAAAGGTATAAATAACCCTCTCCTAAAGCTGGCGGATGGGCGTAAATCACCAGTCACAAAATGAGTTTTAAGAGAGAGAAAACCGGTCAAGTAGCAAGTTGCTTCAGTGTTAAGTGGAGAGGAAGGGTCAGGGTGGTGCAAGGCCAGAATGGTCATACCCCAGGACTCTACTTCAGTGGTTCATTAGGGCGCTGGGGTTAAGGCCACGAAAACACGTTCGAATTCTGCAGAACCTCTACCAGGGTTTGGGGGAACTGACTAACCCTACTTATCTTCTCCAACAAGGAAACTTGGGTGGCTGGGGGAACAATACGTTATTCTTGCAAGAACAAACCAAGTCTGCTGGGATCCTTTGGCCACTTCTGAGTTTCCTCCCCCCACCCGGGGGCTGAACGGCAGCACACAAAAGGTAGGCGACAGGACGTCGGGGTCCAGGCTCAGGCCGAGCGGAAGGTCTAAGCCCACCTTCGCCCGCGGGCCCACTTCCGGGTGGGGGCAAGGAGCCCCCAAGGCGAAGTTCCCTCAGAAAGTCACACCCAGCCCGCAGCACGGGCGTCATCGGCAACCAGCCCACTGCCACTGACGGACGCCGAGGGAGAGTTCGGGCGGGAGGGGCGCGCTCCGCGATCAGCCGGGGCTCCCTCCTGAGGAACGGGCTCCCTTTTCCTCCCCTCCCCAGATGTCGGCCCGGAGGAGCGGACGGCGGGGGTCTCGGGGGGGCCTCACCAGGCGGAGCTGACTAATTTCATCGTAGGACATAAAGCTGAGGATGTTCTCGATGGCTACGATGGGCAGCGCCACCAGCGTGTTGTTCTGAGGCAGCTGGTCCGGAGCCAGCGCCGGCACTTGGGGTGCCTGGGACCCTGGCTGCGGGAGCTGGGGCGGGGGCGGTGGAGGCTGCCGCTGGGTAGAGCCGGCGGCCAAAGGGGAGCCGCCGTCGCCGTGGCCGCCTCCTCCTTCCTCAGCCATCCGCTCTTCGGCCGCCGCCGCCATCTTGGAGGTTTGATTCCTTCCCCCCCCCGCAAGAGGAAGAGAGGCACTTCCGTTGCGTCACTTCCGCTTCCTGCTGCCGCCTGGGAGGGGGCGCTTGGAGGAAGGGGAGGAACCTGTGGATGACAGGAGAGAGACGCGCAAGCTGCTGTTTCTTCAAGTGAAGTGAGGGAAGATCGTGCAAACCCCAAGAAAGGTGGTCGTCGTAGACCCTTTTATCTAGGATTGGGAACTACCGGAGAGCAGGCAACCCTGTTTATTAAAGTGAACTTAACCGATGCAATTTTCTTAAAAAGCTTCCTGACGAAGGGTGATAAAAATAATGTTGCCTAATAAGTGGCAATGGAACAATGGAATTAAATATCACTATTTTTCAAGAATCATAGTAATAATTGATTTGGGCAAATAAAAAGGAACGAAATAACGATAAAACTACGTGGATGAACCGTAAAAACATGTTAGATGAAAGACGTCAGAAAGGATTGTATGATTCCATAGGGAAATCCATACAGACAGAAAGTAGATTAGTGGTTGCCAGAGGTGGGGGGTTTGGGGATTGGGGAAAGGGGAATGCCTGCTAATGGGTGCAGGGTTTCTTTTTGGGGTGATAAAAATGTTCTGGAATTAAATAGTGATGATGGTTGCACAACCTTGTGAATATACTAAAAACCACTGAATTGTATTCTTTAAAATAATGAATTTCTTTATATATGAATTGTATCCCAATAAAACAATTGATTTAGGCAGGAATCATCAGAAGATGTTAACACTAGAAGGCAAAGGTACGATGAGGAACATAATTTTTACGTAGTTTCAAAATAACTCCCCACAAATGATGTATTAATTATAAAGATGGAAAAATAAGTATACAATAGAGAAATTTGGCAGACACCATCACAGTCAAATGATCAAGACTAACATCACAAGTTATGGGAGGAACTGACATCATGTGCCTCTTAATAGGATACGCTGAAAAGGACACAACATAGTGTATATCTACAAAAAAGTGCATAACCTGTGTTTGAGATAGACATCTAGATGACTGGCCCTGCTCATCAAAAATATTACTGTCGTGAAAGATAAAGACTAATAATATTAAATTTTCTGATTTGGATCATTGTTTTGTGGTCTTATAAGAGAATGTCCTTGTTTTTAGGAAATACACATTGAAGTATTTTTTTTTTCCTTTTTGTCTTTTTTACTGACCGGTAACGGGATCGCAACCCTCGGTGTCACGCCCACACCGGGGACCGGCAACGGGATCGCAACCCTCGGTGCTGCGCCCGCACCACGCTCAGCCAGTGAGCGGGAACCGGTCTCCACATGGGATCTGAACCCTCGGCGGGAGCGCCGCCGCACTCTCAAGCGGCGCACTCTCCAGTGCGCCACCGGGCTGGCCCCACATTGAAGTATTTAGGTGTAAAGGGGAATGATGCCTCAGTTTACTCTCAAATGGCTTAAATAGACAATGAGATTAATAAAGCAAATATGACAAATGTTAACATGCGGTGAATTTGGATGAAGAGCATTTGAGAGCCCCTTGTACTATTTTGCAATTACTTCAGAATAAAAAGTTTTAAAAGTTTGCTTGATGTTCCATATCTTTGTATCTTCATAATACCCTATGACGAAGGTAAAGATGCACAGATCACTAAATTTTGAAGCTTTGTGTTCCTTAATTCTTTCTTAATCTAAAAGTTTCCAGTATGTCCTTCCTTTTGCAGCTTTGATTAGGAAGCTAATTGTTGCACAGTAGAATGAAGACTGCAGAAAATCTAAGTATAATTAAAAGTTAAGGGAAGGGAGGCAACTAAAGCAAGGAAATTAATTGGAACTTGTCAGAACTGGCATCCTTCTCCATGCACTGGGCTTGTAAACAATTGGTCATTTTACCTATCATTGTTACAAAACCTTTGAAGTTATTTCTTTGATTCTCCTAGCCTGGGTTGTTTAGTATTCAATATACGTATGCTTCACGCTTAAGTGTTTCTCATACGTTTGCATATTTATAATATGTTAGCTTTATCTCCACTAAATAGATTGTAATTTCACTTTTCTACTTTAGGGTATTGCTATCTCTTCATAGAAGCTATTACAATTTACTCTAAATTGAATTCATTTTCTACCTAGTTTTATTAAATTTAGGTGCTTTCTTGATAGGTTAGGTTGAAATAGAATTTCTGTAAATGGAATCATGCTTTAAATACATTAGGGGAACTCCCTTTGAAAGGAAACCCATAGAAAATCCTTTAAAAATGAATCATCACTCTAACTTAACTGATCTATTTTGTAAATCCAGTCATTACATGCATGCAGTTGTTTGCTTGAAGTGCAAATGTGAAAAGCCTACTCCCTTAACTTTCCACATGTAGTCAACTAGTTAACTAGTTAACATGCAGATCTGTTGATCTAAACAACAGAATACACCTTTGGGAACAATTTAAACCAGTTCCTGCTAGTTGGTTCATTCAAACTGTCCTCTGTTTATATATATTGAATTTGCACCCTTATGTTCCCTACACATTTTTTTAATAAAAAGAATTTCAAGGGCCGAGCCCGTGGCGCACTCGGGAGAGTCTCCCGCCGCGGGTTAGGATCCTATATAGGGATGGCCGGTGCGATGCGCTCGCTGGCTGAGCATGGTGCAGCTGGTCACAAAAAGGACAAAAAAATAAATAAATAAATAAAAAATAAAAAGAATTTCAAAGCAAATGTTTGACAAATTTCAGTTATTAAAATCAATGCTTATTTTGGATATGTTTTCCAATCAAAACTATTATTTGTAAGTAAAACAATTTTTTTTTTTTTTTGTGACCGATAAGGGGATCACAACCCTTGGCTTGGTGTTGCCCGCATCGTGCTCAGCCAGTGAGCGCTGTGAGCGCACCGGCCATCCCTATATAGGATCCGAACCGTGACGGGAGCACCACTGCACACCCAAGCGCTGCACTCTTTGAGTGCACCACGGGGCCGGCCCTAAAACAAATATTTGAACTCTTCGGACGAGTTCTGGGTTCTAAATATGACTTTATGCCAGCAAACTACCATAGGACATTTGTGAGTCTCAAGTATGGGATGGACACATGCTTCTTAAGATTGTGTTTCTAGTTTCATATTTGTAAAAGGGAATAATATTACTTTCCTTTTTTTTAATCTCACACAGTTGATATGAGGATGAACTGAGACACCAAATGGGTGGGGTTTTGAATTGCTCTGATTAAAGGTGTAAAAGTCAATTTACTGCAGTGCAGACACTGTATGTCATCTTGGCCCCCTTATCCTTCTGCCTTCCTGGTCAGAGTGTGTGTTGTGGGGTTAGGATGGGGTGGGTGTGGTAGGGTATGATGAGAGGCAATCTAACCTATTCAATGGCATCTCCACAGGAAGATGGGCTTTATATACGAAAAAAGGGAAGCTAAAACCGGACATTGTTTTTTTCTGTTTGTTAGCAGATTTTAAATATAATTAGAAAGAATGAAAGATGAGCTCATATCCTAACTAAAAAGAGGCCTGGAGTCTCCATGGATTGAAATGAACTGTATAAAGACTCATCTTTTGACTAGATGAGAAGTTTCCTATCATGGCTAATGTCTGAAATTCTGTTATTAGACACATTTTAAAAAAAATTTGAAGCTTAGACTCCAGGGAAGGTAGTCCATTAAACTTTCAACTCAGCAACTGTTTATTGGTTTCTAAATGGGAGAGACACTAGGAAAATACTAAGATGTAAACAATGTTTCTCATCCTTGGGGGGNGAACCTCTACCAGGGTTTGGGGGAACTGACTAACCCTACTTATCTTCTCCAACAAGGAAACCTGGGTGGCTGGGGGAACAATACGTTATTCTTGCAAGAACAAACCAAGTCTGCTGGGATCCTTTGGCCGCTTCTGAGTTTCCTCCCCCCACCCGGGGGCTGAACGGCAGCACACAAAAGGTAGGCGACAGGACGTCGGGGTCCAGGCTCAGGCCGAGCGGAAGGTCTAAGCCCACCTTCGCCCGCGGGCCCACTTCCGGGTGGGGGCAAGGAGCCCCCAAGGCGAAGTTCCCTCAGAAAGTCACACCCAGCCCGCAGCACGGGCGTCATCGGCAACCAGCCCACTGCCACTGACGGACGCCGAGGGAGAGTTCGGGCGGGAGGGGCGCGCTCCGCGATCAGCCGGGGCTCCCTCCTGAGGAACGGGCTCCCTTTTCCTCCCCTCCCCAGATGTCGGCCCGGAGGAGCGGACGGCGGGGGTCTCGGGGGGGCCTCACCAGGCGGAGCTGACTAATTTCATCGTAGGACATAAAGCTGAGGATGTTCTCGATGGCTACGATGGGCAGCGCCACCAGCGTGTTGTTCTGAGGCAGCTGGTCCGGAGCCAGCGCCGGCACTTGGGGTGCCTGGGACCCTGGCTGCGGGAGCTGGGGCGGGGGCGGTGGAGGCTGCCGCTGGGTAGAGCCGGCGGCCAAAGGGGAGCCGCCGTCGCCGTGGCCGCCTCCTCCTTCCTCAGCCATCCGCTCTTCGGCCGCCGCCGCCATCTTGGAGGTTTGATTCCTTCCCCCCCCCGCAAGAGGAAGAGAGGCACTTCCGTTGCGTCACTTCCGCTTCCTGCTGCCGCCTGGGAGGGGGCGCTTGGAGGAAGGGGAGGAACCTGTGGATGACAGGAGAGAGACGCGCAAGCTGCTGTTTCTTCAAGTGAAGTGAGGGAAGATCGTGCAAACCCCAAGAAAGGTGGTCGTCGTAGACCCTTTTATCTAGGATTGGGAACTACCGGAGAGCAGGCAACCCTGTTTATTAAAGTGAACTTAACCGATGCAATTTTCTTAAAAAGCTTCCTGACGAAGGGTGATAAAAATAATGTTGCCTAATAAGTGGCAATGGAACAATGGAATTAAATATCACTATTTTTCAAGAATCATAGTAATAATTGATTTGGGCAAATAAAAAGGAACGAAATAACGATAAAACTACGTGGATGAACCGTAAAAACATGTTAGATGAAAGACGTCAGAAAGGATTGTATGATTCCATAGGGAAATC